ACATACAAAGGTATTAATGGGTATGAGACTGTCGTTGCAGGAGAGAGAGAACCGTGGTATTACTATGAGAAATGAGTGATTCATAGCTGAAAATCCAGTTTTTCAATGAGCTGTATCAAAAGAAAATGAAGTGACCTTCTGAATTAAGTAGAGTAACTATGTTAAACTGAGGTTCTTATGTGCTCTGTAGATTCTTCCGTACGAGATCAAGGAGAAATGATCGCTATATGAAATATCCATATTGTTACAAGATTTTTCTCATTTGCATGAAACTTATTCTACAGAGTGAGGTAAACGAGTTAGTAAAATCAACTAAACAGGACTCACACTTTGCTTGCAAGGTAAATAAAACATGATAATGAATCAGTGAGTTTACTGAAATGATTTTAACAGTTGATGTAGAGCCAGCTGCCTGATTCTTCATCAAGAATGTAGTAGCAGCAGGTGTAGTGGCGGTGCAGCAGTCAGCGATCCATCACTGACTGGATTGGGAATCCCGTTAGTGGTTGACCTTGACGTACTCCGCCCATCACTTGCTTACATAACACTGTTGACGGTCTCACTTCCACTGTTCGGCTAAATCAGGATGATTTTTGAATATGTTAGTTATCTGCTTTTGCTTCCTGAATAGTTGATGCAGAGATATTGATACGTCCATGAGTTTCCGATATTTATAGCCTAGCTTTCCTAACCACCGGAGGCGATTGCTGTGTGATCTACTTATATCAAACTGCTCAGATAAAACAGTGTTAAGGGATGTTTCGGTCCTTCCACATAGATGCTCATTCACATGTTTTTCACAGAAGCGATCCAGAAAATATCCAAACACAATTTTAGTTCTCAAGAAGCCATTTTTTTCTGATTTTACTGCGTTCTTTGCTTTGGATAAAAATTTGTATAGTTCACCATAATCATTGCACATATCATGAGGTTGTTCTGGAGGGGGCATTTTATTCCCAATCCTGTTCTTCATTAACCATGCGTACGTTTTTTCCGGCGTTTCTATACCTCTTCTCACTCTTTTCCCTACATTGAAAAGATTTTTCGTGTACGGTTTAAGCGGTTTGGCAATTGCAATTACATCTTTGATGATCAAATCTCGAATTTCTTCATATTTTTCTTTATTCGATAGAGCTTCATCAATCATACACTCAATGAGCTTCAGTTCTTCCTTAGCTTTTTTCAACGTATAAATTTGCTGCTTTGATAGCGTGTTCATTATGTGCTTATTCTTCCGTACGAGATCAATAAGTAGGGATTGCCTTCTGAAATATCCTAACTCGACGGGAATTCAGGGCTTAATGTATTGCAGATCAGCTAGCGGTCGAGGGTAAATACAGTACCTATGTTCTAGAACATTCTCGATATTAGCGCGATGATCTTACCTCTGCCAGACCGGTCCTGGATCTGGAGCGAGTTTTTGTGGAAGCTAATTTTGATAGCTCACTCAGCTGTTAGCTGGGGGCACACCATGGAAAAAAACTGACTCAAGGTTTCAAGCTGGTTTGACTCAAATGACTCAAGCCTGGTAAATGACTCAAATGACTCAATCGGGGAAAATGATCGTTAACTCATGATTCGGGAGTAATTGGTTAATTTTTTTGGGCAAGATTCGTGATCGGTACCCTGTTAAGCTGTTTATGCAGATTCGGGGTAATTGTTCGTAATAATAATGAAGGATCAGGGTAATTGGTAATTTTGTTGGGTAAGATTTGGGGTAAATGATTGGTAAACTATGATTTAAGCTGTTTATGTAAAGTGTTGTGGTAGGCTCACTGTATATACTACTAATGTAGATGAATCACCCGATTCATCCTACATCTCGTATCAATATTATTCTTACATCTCATATCAATATTATAGAAGACATGAGTTCACGCCACCCATTTTATGAGAGGTTGCAACGATGAAAACGACAGATTTACAAGCTGGCGCCATGGTTTCGGCAGATTATTGGCATGCGTAACCGCGATTATTTCAAGTTCTATCAATAGTCTGCTTAAATCTTATTTCGACCAAGAATTTAACGCAAATAAAATACCAAGTGAATTCACCATCAATTCATTGATAACGTTTCGAAGGCCAGTTCCATCGTCAGTTTAAGATTTAGAGAATATAAGCTCTCCTTGTTGCGTTTACAGTTTTCCATTACTTAGGTTTTAATTTGTTACGTGTTAATTTTGATTTTCAATGCTGATTGTACTTGCAATATTTAATTTTGAGTTGATGAGGGAGCTGGTCTTCAAATTAATTTCAATGAAGATATATTAAATTTACGTGGTGTTTTCTTTGCTTATGAATTTTTCCTAATAATCTACTATTTGAAAAACTGCATTAATTTCATGTGGTTTAATTTAAATCATAAAATATTTGAGGTCAGTCAAAGTCATACCTAATGTTATGGCTGAATGTATACTGTACAATTGACACTGAGCCCTGAATAATGAAATTTGTGTATATTAATGTTTATTATATAATATAATAAAATAGCATTTTGAGCGTTTATCAGGCAGTAGGCCTGTCGCCGATTCTTAATATCGCAGAACATTCACAGCATTTTGCGGTCTTGAACACACAACTCACTGCTGCAATTCTGCCGTGCTTAACTGCCCGGCCTCCTTGCCGATTCTGACCAGAAACTGGCGCACAGAGCTGGGATCGAACCCGCACCTCTCTGCTCCAATCCTGGTACTCTGAACTGTAACCACTGGGCCATGTTATTTTAGCATTATATGGTTCCAGTTTTTATGATGACGAGAGATTTAAAAAATACAAATTGAAGCATCAAACAACTTTTCAACACAAATGTATAATGCATTCACTGTACCGTATTCCCTAAAAATTAGATTCAGCCGAGTCTAAAGTTAATAATAAATACAAATTACATTCAGCCAGGTACAAAATTATTAATAAATAAAAATTAAATTCAGCCAAGTCTAAAGTTAATAATAAATAAAAATTGCATTCAGCCGAGCCTAAATTAATAATCAATAAAAATTATATTCAGCCAAATCTAAAATTAAAAAATAAAAATTAAATTCTGCCTAGTCTAGAGTTAATAATAAATAAAAATTACATTCAGCCGGGTCTAAAATTAATTATAAATAAAAATTACATTCAGCCAAGTCTAAAGTTGATAATTTATTGCTGTTATCTCCATGATCGCAACACCTTTTCTTCGGACCGTTAATGGTTTTCAACTTTATTAATGATGGCGGTTGATGAACGATGCTAGACGTTCTTAATTTGATTTTTATCTATTGACATGCTGCGTAATGAACTTTGAGTCCATAATGTTTTGATAATGACATGCGGCATCATTACTTTTAGTTGACACGTGTGTCAACGAACTATCTTGGCCCCTGTACACAATTGTTTTGCTACCAAATAATTTAATGGTTTTGCAGATAATATATTTTGTTGTGTTTATTTTAGCAGCCATGAGTCACGTGTCTCAGTTGAAGCTTTAAGGTCAAAGTAATCAATAAAATCTCAATGACTACATATCAGAACAACTGCTCATACAGAAGATATTTGGCTTCGGTTTCGAACCTCTTCTCAAGAGCAGGGAATTCATTGCTATGCGGCACATCAGAACCTCGTATTCTCATTAGGGTTACACATATTGACGTTCAAAGAAGAATAACTCTGGTGAATTATGGTGAATAGATAGATGCACATGCATCTCAAATTTACTCAATAATTGCTTTACATTCTCAAAGTACTGACGAAAAGAAGCAACGTTCCCTCTTTCAAATCAGCAGCTGTTTACAATCATAAAATAGAGTAAAGTTTGCCGGAGACGTGCAAAAAATATAGCTCTTTCCGACGCACAGTATTTTTAAGAAGGTCTAAGAACAACAATTTCTCTCGCAACTTTGAGTAATCACGCAACAAAGCACAGATAAGAAATAAAATGAAGCAAGCTTATCATTAAACACGACCATCTATAAATAAATTTCTTTGTCTTTTCCACCCACTCTGAAGGCCTCAATTACGTGCAACTTACTTGTTCTGCAGACAACTCGGGGCGCGGGGGTTACAATTTCTTCCTCGGTGATCTCAAATCCGAAGAGACGCGACTCCACTTGAAGGACATATTCTGAAGATAAGGGGACTGTGCTATCAGTCAGCACTACGTGTATTTACCAGGAGATAAGCAAAAAAAAGCGTAGCGGGGTTCCAAAACGAAAGCTATTTGGCCGCTCCGCAGCCCGCTACTCTATTCGAACTCCCATTTTGATACGCACGCAGTTTTGTTACTCATTAATACACCCCGGAATACACCCCCGAGTTTTGTAAGACAGGATGAATATTGTAATTTGGAAAAGAATATGTAGACAGCCTATGGATTGTAATGATTGTGACTGGCATGCAACCCAGAACGTCACACGCTAGAATGTTCATTGTAATGTCGAATCAAGTCATGAAGCAGCTCAGGATTTATAAAGATAACGCTGACACCGTACGATTTAGAATGATCATGTCGAGGTGCAAGTTCAGCTAAACAAACTGAAATGTGATCATTTGCGATCCGAAGTCATCAGTCACATTATCAGCTTTGACGTCTTTGCAAATGCTTTGGAGCGTCTATTTACGAGCTTTGCCACTTCACCTGAACCAACGCTGAGCACCAAGGATTTGGTCTTCTTATCAGATATACATACACGTGTAACGAAAAACAATTTGTTCCAATAGAAATGGAGGTTCTTCTAGCGAATAACTTTCCATGAAAAAAAAAATTAGAAAAGTCAAACATAATTCTATCATATTCGCTTATATTTCCCCTTTATTTAAATATTTTTAATTTTGTCAACCAGAGAGTTTAAATTTTCCTAACAAACAGTTTAATCTAAATTTCAACAATTAATTGTGGAGCGAGATGCCATATTGGCTGTGGTGACGGATATCACTGACAGACAGCTGTAAGCACGCGATCAACAAATAAAAGCAACTGTTTCAATAATACCATAAAGCTATAAAGGCAGATCATGTATCGTACCAAGTCACAAGAGTTCTAACAGCCTTTCGTTCACGACGTGTTTTGCCTTAGCCTCTTGCCGCTTAAGCCTTTCGACTACCAACATGATGAAATCTGTCTGTCTTGTCCTTCTTCTCACGGCAGCCTTTGCCTACTCCGGTGTTGAAGGGTAATTAACTCAGCAATTGCATTCGGCCGCTGTGCTCTCCCCTCCTGTTCACCTTTATCCCATATAATAAATTATTAGATGATATTGCTTTGTGCTTTAATTTTGTACAGCCACTACAACTCAGTGCTGTAATAGTTGCGAAAATGTTGCATTTAGAGCTATGGCTAATACTTGTTTCCCTTACTAAAATGTGAAATGTTTATCTTATAATATTACTTACGTGGTTTATATGTTCGTATTCATTTCTGTACCCAAGTACAAGTGGGAAACAAGTGGTTGTGAAAACAAGTACAAGTGGGTGTGGAAAGGCCCTGAACAACATGGTGGCGTCCGCATACGATACACCTAACTTCGTCGCCTGCAAGTCGGATCCAGAGGGAAGTGCAGCCTGGACCGCCCTCTCAGGTTAGATATTGCATAATTTATTACCATCAATTGGTTGAACTGAAATTGGGCAATTCGCCGAATTGATATTTTTTCGTTTCAACAACTCAGCTTTAGACTTTGTCTTTTTAATTATTGGTGTTATCTAGAGACGTGTCGTGAAATAGTGGGTGAAAAGATCGTGAATTCATAAGAGATCTAAAACAATAAGTAACAACTTACGTGTTCTGCAGGTAATCCTGCCTGCAAAGACTACAAGTTCACTGTCGGCGATCAGAAGTGCGAAGTTCTCGCAGCTCCCTACATGAAATGTGTTGCGGGAAAACAGGGTTTCGTAAGTCTGGAAATATCGCCAAGATGCTTTTTCATAATCTGTTATGAACTCCACTTTGAATATTAGCTTACCCTATTTGTGGTGTTGCACAGATCAAAATGTGACCAACGTTATATATATTGCATCATCAAAGATATCTATTTCGAACAATTTCATTAGTTATTAAATTATATTATGAAGTTTCAGCCCCAGTAAATGTGAATACAGCACTCATTTATTTATTTCTAGTTGAAGGATGATGGCTCCATAGACAGCACTTCGATCATAGCCAAGTACAAGCTTTGGACCAGCAGCCCTGCCTGCGACGCAGCGCAGTTCGACTTCGGAGTGAAAAAATGTGGCACTACCATCAACAACTACGCGGTAAGCCTTTCTTGCCTTGGCTGGACACGCTCAAAGTTATTTCATAGCAGGGCAATAAGTTAAGATTATTTCGAACTGAATTTATGTCAAATATTAACTTGGAAGCAGAGTGATAATTTTATTTACGAGTATATGGAAATATATACAAATCATTCTTAGTTCCTGTTAAAATACGCGTTGAAATTTCATTCTAACTAGCAAGTTTCTTTGATCCGATAATCCCCTTTTCTGATGCCAATGTGACATATGATTATCTGTGAATTTGTGTCGCATATCATTTTACCTCTCAAATTTCTTTAAATAATATTGAATAGAAATATCACAAAAATTCTAAGCATTCTTCCTCTTTTTATTGATATAATGAACCATCACAAACAGTTCCTAGAGAAGGCCGCATGCATCGCCACGGAGGCGGAAAAGTACACTGGCCAGGATAAGGAAAAGAACACTGGCCAGGATAAGGAAAAGAACACTGGCCATGATAAGGAAAAGAACACTGGCCAGGATAAGGAAAAGAACACTGGCCAGGATAAGGAAAAGAACACTGGCCAGGATAAGGAAAAGAACACTGGCCAGGATAAGGAAAAGAACACTGGTCAGAATAAGGAAAAGAACACTGGCCAGGATAAGGAAAAGTACACTGGCCTGCTATTTCTGGTCCTCATGCCTTCATCTGCCTGCCGGCTTTGAAGTGTTCACAACAGGTGCACAATAATAATTAGGGGACCGCTTTCTCCAGTCAATACGTCCATTCGCAGTAGAAATTCTCTAATCGGGAGATCATTGTAGTCTGCGAAACAATAAACGCAATAAAGTCCTACTATTACCAGGATCAGATCAAGACTTGTTATTTTATTGAAAAATTAAATTAACACTGTTCTGAAGAAGTGAAGCATTTCGAGATGTATTGATGTATATTTATAATATATTATATATATATATATAATATAATATATTTTGTGTCAAGAAATTGCTATTTGATGCACTTGAAATTATTAGAATTCGATAAGTTCAATAATTTAATGTTACTTGATTATAAGTTCAAATAAATAATCGTATAACCAATCATTTTAAACTTATATATAATCTGAAATCATATCATATTGTTTTTAGACTTCCATGCCCTTCAAAATTAGTGGCTTGTTGTTGTCCTTCGAACCTGTGCACTTGTTTTTTCTTCTCCTGACAGATTGAAAACGTTTCTGAAAACTTCAACGATGGAACTTTTTTTATTATTTCGCCCAAGCTGTTCAAAATAATTTACAATACATTATCTGCATGAATGTTGTTTTGATTGACCCTTATGTTGCGGATAAAATGTTGGGTTGTCTGTTGCCCAAATCTCTCCATGTTGAACGCGCATTCAAATCATGAGGTTATTACAAATATTTATTAAATATATACGCATAAGAAAAGTAAACAAAAGAAACCCAAGTAACCAATAGCTAAATTTAAGTGGTAGAGGCGATGCATTAATTTTCGAGAGACACATCGCTGTCTGTAACTTGAAGTAAGTTTCGCGAACATATGTTTGGGGACAGAGAAATGTTAGAGAGACGTCGTAAAGCCTAAGGCTGAAATGATAACGGGAATGACGGAGAGTGGTTGAAGAGAAGCCATATTTGTATGTCGAATACCATTTGTTTCTACAAGAAAACATGAAACGCACAGTATTCACTGTCAATTAGAGCAATTTTTTAACAACTCATAACAACTGCCAACAATTTCTCATATTTTTGGCATTAATTCAGTATTTGCACGCAATTCCCGTGTCTCGTATGAAAGGTATATTTTATAGGCCAGCATATATGTACGTCAGAGCTTTGCCGCTCCAAGGACCTGACTCGGCGCTCTATTGAAGTCTCCCCCGACGAGTCCTTGAAATCCTCTTATGTGCTAATGCTAAGTTCCCGCGATATAGTCCCTGTTCAGTTCACATATGTTCTTCGGGTTAACTTATTCCGCAAAGTTAAAATGAAAGCTCATTAGGTCTTTTTTTTACCGTTCCGTGGATAATTCGACGAGCGGAGAAATACTTTTTTTAAAGGGCATGAAGCAAACGCAAAATTGCGGTTAACAAAAGATGCTCGAATTTTAGAGAGGAAATGATTTAGATATCGGTGAATTTTAAAGTCATTTCATATCTTGAAGCGGTGCTTGGTCGTGAGTGATGTATAAAAGCTGTTAAAAAGTTTTACTGCAGAGCCGGAATTTTTTAAATTTTGGCAAAATACTCAGCAGGTTTTTAACGCGCTCAAACGCGAAAAATTCATTGTTTCATAAAAATGTTCTGCAGCTCAGTTCAGCACTTTTATTTTTTGTAGTCATTACTTAAAATGCACAATTTTTAACATGCATAACTAAATTTGAGTGAAATAATAGGTGAACCCTGCCAATCACCAGTCTTTTTCTATCATCATAGCATAGTATAACTCATACTATGTGCATTGTGCACGCCCAAGGATGGGAGAATCAGTGTTTTAAAAGAAGGATCTGCCAATGTCTACGTAGAGAGAAATGTCCAGTTTTTCACCGCATAATTAGAACTTTCCCACCAACTTAAGTAGGAATTGTATTACATTTAGATACCTCTCTCGGTTATTATAAAATAATAATACACAATATTGATTTCAGTCCCATCGTAACCATTGATAAGAATTTCATGGAGCGCAAATAACAGCTTTAATATTCGGGAACTCCGTCAAGGCCTGTTCTACATTGAATAAATACTTCAATGATATGAAGCTTGAATATGTCATTCTTTAATAAGGCTCCGTGTTGTGCTGCGTTATTAACTTTATTTTAGATTCACCAACAGAAAATTTCGGCTCTCTGAGATACGATTAGGCGTCGGACAGTCGAATTAAAATGTTACTATTATTGGAGTCCTTCTTCAACTTGAATCCCTTCAATGCATGAGCCCAAAATCTCATTGAGAAGTCATCGTGATAAATTAGTTATGTATCAATAATTATCTAGCACGATGAAATCAGCAGATACGACGAATGGAAGAAAAATAGTATTTATTTACATGGTATTTACTTGATTCCACTATACTGCCAATTTATGCACCTCAAAGATTTTCTAGAGCAATAGAATGATAATATTGTGAGTAGTTCAATTTTTAAGGACTTTAAAGAAAAAATTTCAAAAGAATTATGTTTGATTTTATAACAAAAATGATTGATAAGCAACTAGTTGTTGTTAATTCACCGTTCAAAACTGCATTTTACATAGATCATAAAACTCACACTTGATTCATGTTTCAAAATATGAAAAAGATGTTCCAAATTTTAAAATAAATTTAAACTACCAATCTGATAAATAAAGTTTTAAAGTTTCGGAATTGGATCCAATCTTATTCTATCAGTTTTGCAGTGCTTTACTAAACTCCTACCCAAAATATATTTTCAGGTCCCATTAATATATCCCAATAAGTATGATGAGAAAGCGTCCAAATCACCTCAATATATTTATTGCATCAGGTTTCAAACACACGCATAAACAAACGTATATAGAAACAAAAAGCATTTGACCAACATATTCAAGATCAAATTTTTCCTGAGTACTGCACGCAAAATTTGTTCATGCGAATAATAAATGATCGAGTTAACTAGTAACCTAGGAAAAATTTTGTGTCCAAGATAGAGTTGAATCCAATGCCAGCTTCGCGTCGCTCTAAAATATTTTCAAATCCGATTCGTTTTGAAAAAGATTTCGAAATTGCATGTGAATGCGAATTTCGGCCAACATTTGATGATTTTTTAAGAAAGTCTATCATAGTTATGCTCTAATGGAACTCCACCATGCATTGGATGCCGAAACGAAAAAAAATTACCTGCGCATCTGATATTAGGAATTTAAGGAAAGGTTCACCAGAAAAGGGCAAATTGCAATATATTCCAGCTAGAAATTCAGCCTAAATTGCTAACCGAGATTTTAACCGCTAAACTAAAAATCCAGACTCTATGGTTCCAAGTTCAATTGGTCAGGTGAATGAAATAAAAAAATTGAATAAAATAGTTCTCACTGGTTGATTTTATACCACGGATCTCAAACGTGTTATATTTTAGAGAATAAAATGAGATATTTTTCATTCTTAATGATAATATTGCTCATTATTATTTTTGAATTATTTTCGGCAGCTTTCGGTAAATTTATTAATTAATATCCGACTAAATCCTCATACCTGGGTGATTTACCGCATTATTTTAAAACGCACATTCCTCGTATGTTAATTTCGCACCTGCGCAGGGGCGGTGATAATTAAAGGTATGTGAGCATAGTCGTATCCAAATTAATAGATTAACATATTACTCTCCACCAATAGAGTTTTAACTCATTAAAATTTGGAATTAGATTACATTTGCACAATTACCATGGCTGTAATCCAAATTAATCAATTAACCAATTACTCTCACAAATAGAGTTTTGATTCATCAAAATTTGGAATTATATTGCATTTGGAACTATATTACATTTGCACAATTACAATGGCCGTAATAAAATATCTGGTGCGTGGGTTTAGACGCCAGGAATTAAGTTCTTTACTTTTAATTGTCGCAATTTAATCTATGTCCTTTGACCAAACTCGAGAAATATGTCAAGTTTACAACTCGTAGTGAGTAATAATTTTAATTAAAAGTATGTGGGCTTAGCCGCTACTGAATTTATTAATTAGGCCGAATGTTGAAACAAATGAGATTGTGTTCCACCAAATTAGTGTAATATGTTAATGTGGAGTTGGAGAAGGATCCAACTCAGAATATGAGTGATGCCGGGATCAGTTAGGAGCAGTCACCTGATAATTATTATTTAAAACAATTTTACATCATTATATTAAACTCAAACAATTAGATAAAAATTTCAATTATAAGGTCTGAAACTTAAAGCTCAGTGATTATTTGATTATTGCTTTCGTTGAAATACATTAATGAATGAAAAAACATAAAAATATCAGACGTGTAATTAATCACAGATTAAAATATATCAGCGTGCTTTTAATTATCCAGAAAAACAAGCTTAATTGGTGTTAATTATACAGTGAGAACATAAATGCTTTCAAATTACTTTATTATCATTATTGTTAGGAAGTAAATTTAAATGTCCGGAAAAAAACGAAGAATAATCCTATAATTAGCAAATTTCGATAATGAAATTGGTTTGCCTCGTTCCCTGCGAAAAGAGAAATTTGTTGTCAGCTTCCAATCGTCAGGAGCTCAAGTTAAAGAGATCGTGTTAGCATAAGTGCTCGAGTGCGGCCGGCTGACGGCAGCTCTTCTTCTTTTTCATACTTCACGAATATTTTGGCTGGAAAATTACGAACGATGACGCACAATTGACGTCAAATTATTGCCCCTTAACGTGGATTGAAAATTTTGCATCTGACAAAAAGTGAACGCGAGTTGCGCTTGGTAGATGTAAGATGCGTTTTTTGGAAAAAAGTAGTTGATCGAAAACATATAAGAGGTGATAGCTGCCAGTGCTCATGAACTACTGTAATAGTTCAGAAAATACTGGTGTTTCAAGACTGCTGGTCTAAATTTACCGGTTTTCAAAGAATATTTTGCATACGGAAACATATAAATCAGATCAATGTTATATATAAAATTTATTTTTAAAATGCTTACCCTACTTTACAATGGTTCAATTTATTTTTGAATTCAGCATTAACGAAGCATATTATGCAAGACTTCAATGTACTTGTTTTGTTTTTCGTTGATCTGTTTGCAAAAGCGTTAATGAACCAGAAAAAAATGCACTAGACTTAAAAAATTTATTAAGCTTAAAAGAGAATGCAATCTCTAGTAAACTACTTTGCACTTCTGTTAGCATGTGACTTCGAGGATGTTGAAAAAAATCAAAAGATAATCGAAATAACGAGACAGTGACACGTTCATAGTTCATAGCCGTCAAGCTGC